GAGAGGGAAGAAAGTTTGCACCATCGATGAGATTCAGGAAAATACAATGGAGCATCTTATAGTGACTGAGAGAACCATGTGAGGTCCCAAGGTGCCTACTTTGAAGGGGACAGAGGCATCACTGTCTTATGTACAATGTTTCGTGTATCTTGTATCTTCTTCCATAAATGTCTCTATTTTGCATATTGTATGTCTGGATACATTCTGGACAGACCTAATATAATAATAATGCTATGAAAAAAGAGGTACAGGAATTATAGGGGTTATGAGATTAAAATGTTGGCTCCCTACTTTACTGGGGTGAAGGATGGAGAGAAGGTAGACCAGATAAGACACAGTCTTGAAGTCAAGGCGAGAAACTCCGGTGGCTGGACTAGGGTAGTGGCAGCATAGATGGAGAGAAGACTTTGGATGCAGAACTAATAGGTTTGGTTTCTAATTAGATATAGGTAGTTAATGAAAGAGAGGAGCCAAAGATGATCCTAGGTTTCTGGCCTGGGTTAGTTGGGTAGACAGTGGAGTCATTTTCTGATTTAAGCTTGAAAAACAAGATAATGAATTTAGTCATGGACTAGCTTCATTCTGGAGTGGATTTGGTCATTAAGCAGAGAGAGGTCAAGATTGGGATATGAGCTGGAAATAAAACTTTGGAAGTCATTACCTATAAGACTGCATGACATTTCTCAGAGACTGGAGAAAAGAGCAGAGAACCTGGGAAAGCAGGCAAGGCCAGAGAGAAGAAAATCAGGAGAGGGACATGTTGAGGGAACCAGAGCAGAAATTTCCAAGAATGTGGGAATGGTCTCACAGAGCCAAGTACATTTCCAGAGTCAAGTGAGTGAAGCCCTGAAAATGTTCAAAGACTTTAGAATGAGAAGATCAGTGTTCACCTGGAGGTCAGTGTCAAGGCCATGGCCACAGTGAAAGCCAGCCTGCTGTGGGCTGAGGACCAGTGGGAGGAGCTCATTTGTGGCAAAGATACAACCTGAACCCAAGTCTCCTACTGAAACCTAGAGTATGATGAAACTTCAGTTTTATCTTTCTCAATTTCCACATAGCTCAGGGAGATGCTGCCTACAGGTATAATTGCAGGGTAGAACGATGCTTGATGAACAAATTTAGAAAGGGATAATGGAAAAATGGACTAAGGGAGACAAAAACTAGGATCACGAGTCACTTATTTTCAAAGGCGCAATATGTTGGAAAGCACAATACCTTACGTGCAGTTCTCTTTTGTTACCTGTAACAGGAGCTGCTCTCCAGTGGAGAGATGCTGCCTTTCATGGCACTCCCTGCACTGAAGTGACTAAAAAGCAGTATTCAAACTATTTCTGAGGTGCGAACAAAGGGGAAACATTGTTCTTTGGGGTATCTGTAAAGCTTTGTTCAATACAGACAAATGGGGGTAATTTGAGAAGCAAAGCTATACCATGGAGCTCAGGTTTTGTGGCCTTCTGTGAGTGTTCTTTTCACACACCTTTGCTGACTCTCACTCGCAGCCCCTCCTCTCGCGGTTCTCTTGGCACTTTCTATCTGACACTGCACTCTTTTTCTGTCCAATCCTTTCCTATCTCCTGTCCCTCCTTTCACAAAGATTTACTGAGCACCTAGTAAGAGCCCTATTGTGGGATGGTGGTTTTACTACTGAATCAAGACCAGTTGGTGGTCATTTACTGCCAGGTGTCCTTCTGTCACCCTCTCCATAAATCCCAAATATCGGTCCATGTCTTAGATGTAGCTTCTGAACTCCTGAGCCAATTTCTGATAGATGTTTTCTCTCCGATTTTTGGTAGGAAATCTAAAATCCAGCATGTCCCAAGCTAGCCTTTTTATTTCCACCATGAAATCTATTTCTCATTTAATACTTCCTACCTTTGGTGAATAATATCACCATATACCTGGCTGCAAGAGTCCTCAACGTCACATGTAACTATTTCCTTGCCCCCATATTAAACTGGCAACTCAATCCCTTCAAGTCATCCCCTATATTATTTAGGGGTCTGCTCTCTAATTTCTTCTACCTGTCCTGCTTCAAAGTTGCACTTCCTCTTGAATGGACCATAGAAAAGCCTCCAATCATGTGCCGTTGTTTCTGGTCTTGCCCCCACCCATAAACCCTCCACAATGCTTTCAATCTCCTTGTTCAAAAACACAAATCTGATTATGCCTCTCCTGGACAAGTTATAAACTCCCAGTGATTCCTGACTGTCAACAGGTTATAGTTGATGCTCTTTAGCATTGCTTTTAAAAGGTTTTTAAAAAACTACCATTACAACCTCATCATCCACCATGTGCCTGGTACTCTGGTACTTGTATGGATTATCACATCTAATCCCAGCAATGTCTCTATAAGATAGGTACTATAATTTTGTGTTGTTTTGTAAAAGTTAACAAACAAGGAGATTGAGTGATTTGGTTTAGGGTCAACAGACTACAGTGAGCCAGTAGTCAAGCCCAGAGTTTGTATATTTAACAACTGAAGGCAGCTGCTCATAGCAGTGGCTTCTGAGACATCTGCTTGGTTTGACTCTTCCCACCCTCACTTCTGGCCTGGTGACTGTGTCTAACTATCTGAATCCCCTTAGGCCTCCAGTTACTCTCTGACCAAACCAGATCATGTGGGATATTGTAGGTATTCAGAGAGATTACAGATGTGAAGGCCTTAGGATGGCATGTCTGGTAGGCGATCAAGGCTCGATGCAGGTAGGGTCACTCCCTGGACTCCGGTCCTGCTGCTTCCCGGACTGCCAGTGAAGGTGTGGCTATACTAAGAGTTTAAAAGCAATCATTTATGTGGCTAGCCATACTGACTTCTGTGGGAGAGAATACACTGGAACAATTGCTGTTTTTAGCTTTGGGATGATAATAATAACTGGGAAAGATGATTAAAGTGGAAAATGGTCTTTGCATCTGAGTGCAGTGATTCAAGATGTGCAGAAAGATAAAAGAAAGCTCTATTTTTTAGAGTCTTGAAGCCTCAAATGGAAAAGATAGTAAAAATCTACAGAAAGTGAGTCAACTCCTCTTTCCCTTTGATGAAATGGAGAAAATTCCAGTGAAAAATGTAGATATAAATGGCTGATATCCTAAGAAATAATTTAGCTTTCTAAAAAATGAGGAAGTAAATTAATGGGGATTATATAATTCAATATGCTACAAGCATTTATTAAGTACCACTTTTTGCCAACCACTATGAAGGACATTGTGGGAAACACTTAAAAATGGGGGGGTGGAGATGCTGCCATCTACTACAATTGCTTGGATGAAATATTTAAAGTAATTTTAACTGAAAACCATTTTCATATAAGATGATAATAACAATAAATTGTTTGCTGAGTGCTCAACCTTCACAGATCATCTCACCTGGTCGTAAATCCCACTCGGGAGTAAGATCATCCCTTGTGAACTGGTAGAAACTGAGACTCAGACAATTTAAGAAACTTGCCCAACTGGCAGATATAAGATTTGAACCCAAAGTGCGTTCCATTCTTACACAACACCAATGCAAATACACAACTACTAAACTTTTTAGAAGTCTGCTATTCTCATGTTAAAAATTTACCAGGGTGGTTTATTTGCATCCTATTTCCTACATTGGAAAAAGCCATATTAAGCTTAAAAAGAAATTTACTTCCACTTTTCGCAATAAATATATCCCTAAAATGTTGTCCATAAATTAACATTTTCTTAATAGAGTGCTATTTTTCTGTTTCTATATACCATAGATTTTTCAGAGATTAACTCTCAACTTATTGTTTATATAAAATTGATAATTATTATTACTTGGCAATAAATTCCTAATTTTTTATTTGACAGTGCTCTTCCAAATCCCCTGATTAATTTATTTTGAAGTCTGGATAGTCATCAATTGGAACACCTTAAAATGGGGCACATCATGCATTATTAACATAAAATTAATCACAGCGCAGTCAGGGGATGCCTAAGTTTCCCTTTCCTATCATCTCACAACCAAGGACTGAGGAGCTTGCAATTTCCAAGTATTTTTATATCACAAATACAGCATTTACATTTACATAAATGGATTTTCAGGGCACAAAATACAAAATGAATGTGGCATTGTTATTTCCAAATATATTCCAGGATCCTGCCTTGCTAAATTATAGTCACTAAAGTCCACAGAGACAAAATAACCCAAACCGCCGACCTTTTCCCCTGTAAGGTCCATTGGCTGAAAGATGCCATTACATAAATAGCACTTCTGCTAATTAATTAGTGCTGGCCATAGTGGTTTTTACTAAACTAAGAAATGAAACCAAATAGTGCAATTTGCATTTTTTGTTCTTACTCTAGTTAAAATTAAAAAGGCCAGGATAAACTCAGCTGAAGAATGCTGCTTGCAATTTGTTTTTTTCTGATTATTTAAATTACTTGGTATTTTGAAAACAACCCTCATATTCAGTTTGGTTGTTGGTTTTACATGATAGGGTAGCTAATTAAAACTACTGCACATTGTGGCACATTCCAGTATACAGTTTATGATCGTGAAAAGGTCACATACTTGAAAATAAAGTTCAGTATGCCTCCCCCATTTAGCCAAATAATCAGAGAGAGTGTTTAAAAATAATTCCTATTCCTCTTCTCCAAGCAGCTTCTTTCCTTGTCTCTGCTTACTCATGATTACCCATCAATAGCACCTCTCTCTCTCAGGGGGATCATATGGACGGGATCTCTCCAAACGCCTCAGCAATGTTACAATTTTGTGGAGGTCATCAGAAAACAAAACTTCTGGTTTGACTCGGACAAAAACACAAAATAAAATACTGGAAAAACAACATTCCAGAACTAAATTACCTAGTTTAGCATCACTGGATATATGCAGCATTGATTTTCCAGGTAAATGTGAAAAAACTAATCCACTTAAAGCACTGCTCCTTAGTTAAGAAAAGAATAGTGTAGCTTTGCATCTCCTTGGAGGGGTCTCTAAATTCAGACCCGGCATTCACTGGGCCTCACGCCCCCTCCCCACAGCCCTCACCCACCTAACCCAAGCTGCATCTGGTCTTTTCAAAATAAATCATAACTTCAAGATGAACCTAAATCTTTTCATGCTTTCAATGCCTGATTAACCGATTTGAGTGTACGTATATTCTAGCTTTTCCCATTTTTAAAAACATCCACTCCATTTTACTCTTCAACACCTTTACTAAATGTAGTTTTATACTGCTCATATGAACTTTCAAGGACTTCTCCATATTTTGAAGTGTTGGTGGATATTTTGCCTCTCATCTATCTGGTGTCTGGTAGGATAACTGTTGGTTACCCAGTATCACTTCAATTACGTCAGCTGCAGATAAGCACAAACTCAGCAAATTCGCAGACTCATCATGTGTTACTGACTTCTTTTACAAGCTTTCCCTTCTATTGACTTTTCTACAACAGACTTCTTTCTACTCTTAGAAAGGCATGTTTCGAAAATAGGACATCATTTAAAAAGTACAGCCAGAACAAGGGACAAATACTAGTGTGCTAGATTAAAGACTTGCTATGAATAACTTAAAGGAAATCTTGGTCAGTGCACCCTTGGACAATTATTTCAATTAAGGTTTATTTTCCTTAATTAAAATATTTTGTAAGCCCTCACAATGCTTTTCAATGCCAGTGTCTTATCCCTAGAAACTTTATTTGTATTGATATTCTTTAGCATTCCCAATTTGCAATGAGTTTAGCAAGAGGCAAGAGTTAATCTTTATCAACTTTCTATGAAAGTAGTAGGCAAATTGCAGGGAGTCAGTCTGATGGACTTATAATAAACTAAAGGCAGCAGCTAATTAAAAACACGTGGCTACGGGTTCCTATCCCAGCTGCTCGTTCAGTCTGCTGAAGGACCATGATGGGAGAGGTCATGAAAACCTACCCAGTTTCCTCATCTAAAATACCATATTGGGATCGAAATAACCACAGTGAGTAGTGAGTAGCAACACAAAGAACTGTTTAGTGAGGCCTCATAATAATGTCTATGGAGTATGATTACAAATATAAGGGGTTGAATATCTAATATTAACATTTAATATTACCTGAATATTTATTAATGTTCACATCCAAACTTTGAGATTACCAAAGCAGAGACGCTAAATGATTTGCAAAAGGTTGCACAACAAACTGATTTCTGAGCTAAGATTAAACCCATAACTTCTTGCATTAATTTTCCTCACCCTATGTTAAATTTAATTACAATAAAAGTAAAATCATCAACACTTTCTCAACCAGAATCCTGACTGCCTTGCATGTGCCCCAGTGAGTCATGTCCATGCTGGTAAGATGAAGGAACATCACATTATTGGAAGCTGCTCTGGATGAAGTTATAGGAGAAAGGAAATGATTTGGTTCTTTACGAGATGACCAATTTTCAGATAATGAAAGCACAGTGAAACATGCTCAGTATTACAGTAATGCTCCATATATTTTAAACTGGGGAATTTTAACATTCTGCAATTTAAGCATTTTTTTCTAAGTGTTAAACAGAATTTAGAGGAAATCCAACAAAAGTTTAAATCACTAAAGCTGTGACTACCTTCTATCCCAATATTCTTTAGTGTTATACAAATGTGAGAAATAAACTATTATAATTTCTGCAAGTAAGAGACTAATGAAACAAAATGAAAATAAAAGGTCAAATTAAGTGAAAGCAGTAACGGGGTTCCTGATGGTCATATAGGCAAAACAGTTCTGCAGTCTCAAGAAATCCCTGTGACCACTATGAAAAACCTCATGCGACCCAAGTTCCAAGCCCAGCTGTTTTCTACTTCATGATCCCCCCACCCTCATGGGAGTAGAATGATCATTAAGCATTATTTTAATTTCTGTGTCAAAGAGGCTTTTGCGAACTGATCCACCTGCTGTCAAGAAGCACAATGGAATGATGAATAGTGTTTTTGTGTTTTTGAGACGATAAATCCCTTCTGTCAGCACATTTCAGATAGGCAGAGAATATACAGGAAATTTTACTTTTCTAGGCCTCTCTAACTTTTAAGCCACTTACAAGTTGCTTGGGGGATCATCCTTTGTCTCTAGAGAGATTCACAGAGACCAGAGCATCTCATTTGTACAGTGGATAAATTAACTGGGATAGAGTTACCACACTCCACACGGAAATCTGTGCAGGGTGCTTTCCTTGGAGGTGTAATGCAAGATCAGAAACTTGATTTCTACAAATCCCAGGTTAAACTGGTTTGATATATAGTAAGTTCCTATTTTGCTTGCAATATGCCAATGGATAATTGGTAGAACATAGACCTGTAACTCCAGCCCTTGCAACTGTAGAGCCAACTGCAGCCTCTGCGAAGATAGGCTTGAAGGATTCTGGTTTAGAAAACTTTGTTCTGTGTCTCTGCATAATGAAATTTGAGATCATGTAGGGGAAGCTTAATCATAAATGTTGGGGAATGCATGGTTCTCTAGAGATCCAAGGGTGACACTCACTCCTTCCCCACCTCTCTCCCAGTATCTCAGATGAGGACAGCACAAAAGTTTAATTAGTGCACCAAAGTGCTAGTTTTATACAGAACAGGGAGATAAAAGTATGAGTAGACTCCTAAAGAGTGGTTGGCTCTGAGAAAAAAGAAGTTGATAGGAGAACTTGGAAAAAGCCTAAGGGACTGAAGTAACTCATGCATCCACAGGTGGGAGAAATAGTATTTTGGAAGAAGTTAGGACAAGTAGGTAAGGAAGGAGTTGCAGCCTGGATTGACTAATATAGTAGGGTATCTAAGGTCACCTGTGATGAAAACACTGAAGGAAAAAGAAAAACATTCTTTTGCTTTTAAAAATACTCTACTCCACTCACATTTTATCTTCACACATATTGTCTATTGACTTTTTTCTCCCCCTTCTGAGTATTTGTGCTAAAACAAAGCCTTCACTTTTGGGTCCCCCCCTCATTTAAACCTGTTCAAACTAAGAACAGGTAAGAAGAAGGTGTCCTAGATCCTTTCATCTGGATTTTCTTTTTCGATTTGCAGTGTTGCAGAATCTCTTACTTGACTGATGTTTTTAAGTTTGCCTTCAAGTTTATTAATACATTCCACACACACACACACACATGCACGCATGCACATACAGTCCTCTCCAGTCCTGTATTCTGGGCTCTGGGACTCTAATAAGTGGCATTTGACAAGTGTGGTTGGCCCAAAGTCAATTGATGCTGGATAAGCTTCTGCCTTTATAGTAAATGGTCAAGTATTTCTGAGACTGAAATTCAGTGCTTGGCTGACGAATGGATTTGTGTCAACAGATAGAACCGGAATTAATAGGAGATTATGTCACTGCTGATTGAAATACTCAACAATGAAAATTACCTAATAAATTACATAGTTAAGTAATAATAATAATAATAATAATGACAATAATAATGTAGTGTTCATTGGCTTATTCCAATATGATTGTTAGATATGTTGGGATATCAAGGAGAAATTAATTAGATACTTTTAACAGAATCATAATCATATATTAAACTTTTCATTCTTTCTCTTTTAAATTGTATGAGAAACACATGTATAGTGGAAAAACACAAGAAATTTGAGAAACGCCAGAAGGATACAGAAAAAAAATTACAAATACTTAGAATCTCTCTTCTCAGAAATAAAACCTGCAAGATACTTTGGGTTATAGTTCAGACTTTTTCCTCTGTAAATAATACAATAAACATTTAAAAAATTCAACACAATAGATCACATTAAAGATTTCCTCTAACCCAGTGGTTCTCAACCAGGGCAATTTTGTCCTCCTCCTCCCAGGGACATTGGGAAATGTCCAGAGCCATTTTTGGTTGTTACAAATTAGGGGCTGGAGAGGAGAAGGTGAGCTACCGGCACCTCTTAAGTAGAAGCCAGGGATCCTGCTAAATGTCCTGCAATGTACACAACAGCCCCCAACAAAGAGAATTATCTGGCCCAAAACGTCAATAGTGCTGTATTGAGGAGAAACTGCGCTCTAATCCAATACAGAACTAAAAATCTTACTAATTAGAATCTACTCCATGCTGTAATTACTGAACAGCTGCCGGGAGTGTGTATATTCAAAGATAACTAGGACACTGGCTCTGGCATAATGAGGACAACACTCCAACCAACTGAACGACCCTGCCAGGGCTGGGACCCTGGCCCTTATCTGTGGGTTACAGATAAGCAAATAAACCTAAATGAAGGGACGTTTTACTTACATCTTTTTTGAGGCAAGGAGTCCTTTGAATGGCCTGAGTCACTCAGTGCCTGAAACTTGCATTTTATAGTTTATGAAAGGAACTAAATGAGTACTAGTCTGAAAGAGAGAGCCACCCAGGACAGCACCCAAGACATCCTGTTGTAGGACCAGCTCAACCTTTATTCTGGCTCTCCCACAGCTCACCTGCTGGCTCTCAACTCGCAGGTATAGAGTTGCAGGTGAAAAGATTGAGTCAACATAATAATGCTGTTAAACATCACAACATTTCTATAAAATTCAAAATGTCTTTGTGCCTTGACTCCTAGAATTAAAAAATATAATAACAACAACAAAACTTGTGTTCTGCCTAGAAAAATGTGTCAAAAAAACCTGTAGCTTCTGACACTTTTTAGGGATTCCCAGTCAGGAGTCAGGTATTGTGCTATTTTACACCCATAGCTTTATTCAGTTCTCACAACCACAGAATGACCTCATGGCCAATCCCAATTTTCAGCTGAGCAAACTGAGGTTTGCGGTGGGGGTGAAATAGCTTGACCCACACATGTGGTCATAAACGGCAGAAAGTGGAGGCCACTGCCATCAAGGCAGGTCAGCCTGCACTGTGGGGCCATCCGTCCTGCTGGTGCAGTATGCGGGACCTGTGTCTTCTGACCCCAGGGGAGAAGGACAGCTCTCCAGCCACGAGCTAACAAGCTTCTATGACTTTTGGGACCATACCCATCACACCTGTCATACCATTTTTTATAAATTACTCTCAACGAGTGAGCTCCTGGGCTGCATGGGAATCTTCAAATGATTCATTTCCCTAATTGCTCTCTTCTTTCTTCATT